TCATTCTTTATCAATATATTGACGGAAATTTTCTGAATAGACCTCTAATAGGTCAATACATAGAATGTGTAGCTTTTGGATCAATTCACCATGGACTTACGATAGTATTTCGACAGTTAATCACAACTTAAACGTTTATGTTTGTGCAATAACAAATTATAGCGACATTTAACATGGGATACGAATTTCATAAACTTTGAGACGTGATTTGATTTCATTTTAGTTGTAAGTTCAATGTACATACTTTTTTAGAAAGAGTAACGAATGGAGTTTCTTGCTCTTTCTTTTCTATTCGAATCTACATTTTGGAATGAGCAGCCAGCTTCACCTAGCTTTACTGACGGACTGACTGAAAGACTATTATTTATTTTGTATTTGTTGACGTTTCAAAATTACCAAATTATAGTTTAATTGAAATTAATGCTTTGACTTTGACTTTGAATGACTTTTTCATTTAATACATCGATCATCTTTTCATTACTGACAGTGCTTTTTTTTTCGTACGATTTACGTCTTTCAAGGTCACATGTTTATTTAAGAAATGCGTGAAAATGCTGTTTTCTTTTTTAGATGTGTAGAAATAGTGCTGATAGCGTCGTTGATAGAAAAACATTGCTTCGTAGACTGACAGTTCCCAACATCACATAACTTTTGGTAACGACCAACCACGGTAAAAACCACGACTAAAAAGACTTTTGTTTTCCTATTGTAACAACGAATTTTTCAGAACTTTATTTTATTAAACCTTCTTTTAACCATAGCAAATATATCAAAAAGTTCCTAATTATGGAAGTTGGTCCAGCTATTCACGCGTGAGGCGTTAACTAAGGGAAATAAGGCTATGGTCTAATAATATGGTCACTTGTTTTCCTAAGTTACTCAATACTTATCAGTACCTTACTAACGTACAGTTATTGCGTCTGGTATCCGCCTTGTTACCTCACTTATGATTGAAGTAGCATTGTCTTGTAATTATAATTAATGTAAATTACTGTTAATGCTTTTGTCAACTATTTCGTGCTACCACCTAGATGTTACAAGTGTTATATCATATTATCATCATTAAATTTCATGTGGTACAAGACTTCCAGTGATGTCCAGACCCTGAACATGATATGGCGTGTAGAACTGATGGTGGGTCGATTAGAAACGTTTTAGAATTAGGCTTTATGAGTAAGGATATAAGATACCATTTGAAGACTGCTAGTCATGTGAAGTTTACTAAGCCGACTATTACAACTAAGGCTTATACAGTAAAAATAGCACCGGATGGGGCCTATCATAGGGCTGGTGCCGATACGGAGCCGTGGAGAACGTAAAAGCTTACGGGGACTACGGTTCGAAGTGCAGGAGTAAGAACGAGGTGGTTTTTAGTCAGTAAGGAAGTAATTGGATGACTTGCCCCACTTAAAAAACCAAACCATCCCTTAAAAAAAGTATGGACTTTGATATGTGTTGTGACTTGTATGAGACAAAAGATCTACAATGGCAAAGAGGGTGTTGCATATTTTAATAGTCTGGTTCTCTAAAGCATGACTTGTTGTTTCATTGATCAAATTCAATCAGCTATTAGTAAAATGAAAAACTATTTAAACTGTCAAACACCAAGCGGTCACCGGTGACCGCAACCTATTGTTCTATAATTGTGTCTACAAAACCGGTACTCGACGAGTTAAGGCTTCTATTGAAAATTGAAAAATTCAAATTAAAAACTATTTAAGCAAGGGGTCTCGGGTTCGATTCCCGAGTCGGGCAAAGTTTAATGGATTTTAAAAAATTCTCAGTAGTAGTACGGAGTCTGGAAATGTGCCCGGTATAAGGCAATAGGCTCACCCCCTGTTACATGGGACTCATAATATAAAGTAGATAAAAGTGGGTGTTACATTGTACAGTGGCATAATGTGCACCTCTGCCTACCTCTCCGGGAATAAAAGGAGTGATGTTATGTTATTTAAGGCTTAATGTACAGCGTGTGATCACTAAACCAAAAACAATTCGATTAAAAAATTAAACAAATATACTTAGTACGACAAAATGGCAGAGTAAACTAGCAGAAGTGTGTTTGAAGTCCACTTGTGAATTATTTGCTTATAGTCAAATCTCCTATTTTAAGAGCTCTTATGTTGGAACTTATATTAATTATATATTTAAGTACATAGAACCACATAGGCCTGGAAATTTAAAATCCGCTTCTCATGCACGAGGGCGTCGGTTCGAAACTTACCAACGGCAACTACCAATGTGACTTTTTCCCAGTTATATGCATGTGCTCTCTATGTTTATTAAGACACCACTTGTAAAGAGTGAAGGAAAACATCATGAGTAAACCTGGGATAATAATTTCCACTTATAAGTTTGAAATCGCTAACTCGCATTGACAAAGCGTGGTGAATAATGCTCAAACCTTTTTCAGGTCTTTGATCATCATTGGATATAGACTGTTGATGCTAATGATGTAGAACAAATAAATAGTTTTATCAACATTAATAGCATTATTTTATTTATTTATTTAATATGCTTCATGCACAAAATGTACAAAAAGGTGGACTTAATGCCGCAGGCATTTTCTACCAGTCTGACCTTTGGGTGATGCAGAGAAGAGTAAATGGTAGGTGCAAGAGGCAAGCAGTGATTTTATTTAACAATGAAAGATAAACTTATATATTTCGGAGATATACATACATAAATAAATTTAATTATAATGTATACCTACACATGAGTACAATATGCCTACATTACAGCATTACAGCCGTATTAGTCCAGTGCTGGATTATGGACCTCTTCCATCGTATGGGAGTGGTTGCCGCACCAAACCTTCATACTAAACAGTCGGTTGGAGATTGCGGCATAAATCGTTCAGGCTTAGAACTCATCGGAGTTGTCTGTGTTCAGCAATGCATATCGTATATGTAGTATTTATGATAATGTTAAAGTCAAATAATGTCAAAATCAAAAAACTTACTTTACATAATTTATAGGTTGTTAAGTAAATTAACTTTGATTTAACTTTGAATTTAATTTATTACTTCGATTCACTGAACAGATAACTAGGAACGGTCATTCGTAACATACTGTTCTAATTAAAACAGTATTTATAACTATTTTCAAAGATTTATCTGTGAATATCTAAGCATTTTTTTTGAAGGAGAAAAATCATCCAATCTCTTTTCCCGCCCGAGTGAGGCAAGAGTGAGTGTCAGTGTCTTACTGACTAAAAACCACTCCGTTCCTACTCCTGCATTTCAAGCTCTGGCTCGGCTCCGACCTGGGCAACCCATTAAGCCCACCGCGGCGTGAGAATCTAAGTTTAGAGATTTCTACATGTATGTCATGTAGAAGTAATAATAAAGTTTCTACTTAAAACCCTTTTTTCATACTTTTTATAAGTCACAGGAGTTTTCATCGTTGACAACTGTTACCATGTACAACAACTTACGGTAGTCGCTCAGAGGTTGAGTCAGTTAGTTCAACAACTTCTTGGTGAAGCAATAAAAAAATAATTAGCTCCGGGTCATTATTGCGATATCTTAAATGCAACAACTCAATGCATAACACTTATCCGGTCTGACACTCGTAAACTAAGACTTCTTAGGACCGATTTTTCAATGCTCAGTTGAATTTTATGAGAGGAATAACTTTGAATATTTGGTAATTTTCCTATACTAAAAACTGCCAACAGTTAAGAATTGATATACTTCTTGTATTGCGATCATTTACTAATTTCACTTATTTATAACAAAGTTAAGATGAAATTAGACCCCAAAAATGCTAATAGGAGACATTTCTAAAGGTTAGTATGTTTTTTATGGACAAACCGCCAAAACCTTACAATACTGCTGCAAATCCTATAAGACAGGATCTACAGTAAATACAACTTAGAGATAGAATAACTGCCTTGGGGATCAAAGAAAATAAATCAGAGGATATTATTAGAGGAGAAAAAAGAAAATAGCTTCCAGTTCTCCTCCAGGTCTTGATTAAAAACTAAGGGGATCTGAACCTGAAGTGTGAGCAGTTACTGCTACAGCAAGATTACAACCAACTATCAATATTGTTATGGACAGTTTTTTTTAAATGCTCGACTTCCCAAAACCACTGCAGGTCCTGTAAGTCAGGATATTGTGGACAGTATGGGTACAAATATATCAAAACGTGTTCAAGATAAATAATTATTAATTTGGTAGTGATGGAGTTTATTGCCACCAGTTCCATTATTTCCCCAAGGGTTAGGCTCCCCAGAGACACCCCCAAGTAGTGCAAATGAAATGTGATCCAAAAATCCTCAAGAAGGTTTGTAGTGATTGGATGTGAAGACCTGAAGATCGAGCTCAGTGACGTAGTATTGGAGAAGCCTATCTCCAACATTGGACAGAACAAAGAACAAAGGACACATTCATTAAAGAATCACATTATTCGGTCCAACTGTTATAGAAACATCCTGTAATTAGATTAAGAAAATATACCTCTCTGTCTCTGAATGAAAACAAATGCTATATCAACTTATGGTCACTTGGCTTTTTGGCAAAATTAAATTTTCAATGTTAGTTATAAATATGATTATGTCTTTAAAATTAAATGGGATACTATTTATTAATTGAGGGTTTCCCATTTTAGTTATCACGTAGCAAGCAATATTGAATAACTGAGATTTTATCTATGGAACTGTGAAAGCATTGCCTTTTCGTGTAAATGTTCATTCTAATTAAATAACAATCGACCACATTATGTGCCGACAGTAGAAGAACCGACCGAATATAAATTATATTAAGTTTTCAAAATAAATAATTTTCTAAGTAGTAGTCGCATAGCAATAAATAAATAATATTTTTAATCATTCGCATAGCTTTATAAAAATATGAAACTTAATTTCAACTTATCACAATCCAATATAAAACCTTAAACACAAACTCACTGTCCAGTAAACTCCGTATGTAAATTAAAAAAAGAACACTTGTCAAATAAATTCGCGGGTAATAAAAAGTATAGATTAAAAAACTCACTTGTCAAAATTTCCCGCGTAAAATCACAAAGGGCACGTTCACGTTGCACTGAGAGCGAGCAAGCACTGATGGCGGACACTGGCAGGCTTGTTATTTTGCTTGCAGCTGATGATCGTTGCGCTCCACCGCAGTAGATATTTAGATAACTGCGGTTTTCAGTGAATGTTACAGAGATTAACAACATTTTAATGTTTAGATCTGTTACGTTAGGTTGGTGCAAAAATCTTGCTGTGAAATCTTGTGTCAATTGCTGTTTTTTTCTTATTAATTTCACACTTAATCGAGTTTCTAGTTATATTTACAAGTTTTGCAATACCCCTATGTGAAGTTGCTAAGAAAACAGTTATCTCTTATACTCTTTTGTTCATAAAAAATGTAACTACTTTAATTTTTAACCGACTTCAAAAAGGAGGAATGTCTCAGTACCTAATTATTGAAATGCTATTCACACATTACTGAGATAATATATATCATTGCTACCAATCTGATAAGAAGAACACAGTTTTTATTACTAGATACGCTAATATATGGGTATTGGGTATTTCCTTTACTCAATAAACGCAGTTCTTTAGGAACACGTAAATAAAATAATGAAGTGGTAGAGTACCTAAAAAGCTTTTTGTGATACCCACTCAATCAATCCGATCTATTGTTACTAAATGTACCTGTTTCCAAAACACTTTAACATTAATATAATTTTCCTCTATAATGTTGGCAGTCCCTGTATTTTTATTATTAGGCCGTTTTTACATAGCATAGGTACCTATTACAAGAGTTACATAAAGTTAAAAAAAAGTAAGGAACGATTAAGGTCACCGCAGTATATTCGAAATTACGCTGAAATTACTAAACACTGTTGTTTTTTTTTCACGTAGGGAACGAAGCAATAGTTCGTTACAAAATCATTAATTTTATATTAGCATTCAGACTTTGCATTGCTTCATTTAAAATTATAGGGAATCAAGAAGAATGAGCTACGAGCTACAAGCGAGAATTTCGAAAAAATATTTAGTACTTTGTGATGTTTCATTCGATATTATATTTTGTTAGATTCCCCCAGATAAGTAACATCATACTGTGGAAAATGATGCAGAATATAATTTTTAAACTTTCTAAATATTACATTAGATGAAAAAGTAAAATTGCGCAGACCTCCCCAGATTTACTACGTGTATTATCTTTCCTTTAAACTACTCCTTTAAAGACCTAAAACTATATGTAAATTGAAAACATGTATTTCAAAACTTGAGTCAAGATTAGGCAGTTGTGTGTTCCTACCCACAGAATCTATCTTTAACAATTCCAGTTCTACTTATCACATTAGTTCTTTTTTAAAACTCTTGAGATATTAACAAATATCTAATATATTATCATCTAACTTACTACATTAATATACTGTCTGTTTTCTGTTCTTGTCACCCCAACTTGCTCGAAATAGCACGTGTGATTATTTATTAAAGCATTCTGTTAATTATTATTATTAGATTCAATGCCCTCATCCCCAATTTCCAAATCGCCAATTCATAAATTGCTAACTCCCAAAAGCCTTACAACGCACTTGTACCTCTTTTTGTGTTCCGGGTGACTATTGATAGCGCCGATTGCTTACCATCCAGTGATAGGTTTGCTCGTTTACCACCTAGCAAACGCGAACGGGATACCATCAAAACGAAAAACAATAAAATACCGTCAGCGATATGTATTTCCTCTAGTGTTGCAGGTGTTCATGGCCGACACGGATGGCATACCGTCAGATTATCCATATGATGCTTGTTTACGACGGACCTAATAAAAAACCTAAAAACTTAAGCAATTCTAATTCTTTTTTTATAATAACTATCGTGAGACATACTAAATGAACTAAAAACTGCGCGTTACTCACGTGAATATACTGAAAAAAGCTCTACTAGTTTAGAACCACAGAGGAGTTCTTCCTCATGAGCAGCGTGCGTGGTCGCGGCGACGTCGCTCAGTTCACTTGAGTGAGCTTTTAGTTTTTATTTAGTTAATTCTAATTCTTATCCGGTCATACAAGTACGCCTATTAATCCATGTGCTTGGCACTTGGTCATTTTCCTTTATATCAAAAGCCTATGCCATTTGACCCTGGATATCGAGTTATTTTTTATCAGAGAGATTTCAAAATCTTCTTGTTCGATAGGCTAGTTGATGCTTTTCCTTTTCACTTTTCAATAGTAATGAAAATTAATAGATTCAGCCAGTATCTATTTGGCAATAACAAAATTTTCCCACAAGATTGTACTTACCTTCACACACTACTTCAAATTCTACTCAAGATCCAAAATCAATCTCGTAAAAATGAGTCTCTTTAATAATTGCCCAAAGAACATCACAAAAACTAAGAAGTACTAATTCAGCAGAAAATATTAAGCTTATTTTAATCAGTCTGCTCGAAACTTCAATCAGAATTTAAAAAAATCCTTTCACCTTTAATTACAAATACAAATCACTCAACGTAGAGAGGATCCCGTTGAAAATATTTTCAGCATAACATATTCAATTACAAAACTTTAACAACTGTTATATAACTTGATCATTTTTACAGCAATTATATCGCGTTCACAATTAGTTTGTGTAGAATGAGCTTGCTTTTTGATTTTAACAAAAGATATGCTGCAATTAACAGTGGATTTAGGCAATATGTTGTAACATCTTCAAAATGAGCAAGGCATATAGTTGCCGTTAATGACCTTTTGTAAACGAACATACTGTATGTGTTACAAAGCTGTTGCGAAAATCATTGTTTGCTACATTGCAAACCCTAATGTCTTTGTCTTCTTGAGTACCCAAAAAGGCTATAGTCAAAGTCAAAATTATTTAGTTCAAATAGATCAGGAAGGTCGTTGAGAAAGACCCGTATGAACGTCAAACGGCATCAAACAAAAAATTTAAAAATCTTAATTAGTCCGTAGATTTTTATGGAGATGAAACAAGAAAGAAACTCCATAGGTTACTAATGCAAATATAGATCGGTCAACTATCTCTCAACCTTGACTGAAAGCTATTTACAACTGAATTATGTATTAAATTATTCAATATTGATCAGCTCAAGTGGAAATTACGAGCACTCGGTTAGGTAACCTAGGTCAACAAACTGGTCGAAACGGGTGAATTGAACGTCAAGATCGAGGTAAAGCGGTCGTTTTTTAACCTTAATCGAAATTTGAAAATAAGCAGTCCTTAGCATTGGAGAACTACATATCTGCAGTCTTTTGTTGATAACCTATAAATATTAATTATTGTATTACACACGTCGTATTATTTACTACCATTCAATACAAAACTTACGCAAAAAACTTATAAATTGACTTTCATAATAAGACGTGAAAAAATTTTGATACTCTGAAAACAATAGGCTTTGCACAATAAGAATGAAAGAGATAGTGATGAATTAACTCTTGGAGGCAGAATGAGACAGCTACAGGCTGGACTACAGTGGAATGATCAGGTTATCAGGTACCACACAGTTATGTCATACTAAAGGTGCTGAGCTGAGAACCACTGACCCACATTTCGCTTTAAGTGATCTAAATTCATTGGGTTTTAAATATACAAAGTATAACAAAACTAAAGACTTGAAAAGAAAGTGTATTTACTGAATCAGTTAAATATAAAACTAAGTATTGTATTTTATAAGACTAGGCACTTGAAATTGTCTGCGTCTGAGTCAATGCATCTAGACGCTGACTTACATTTAATTTTAATTAACACTAACTTTCACTTTTGAAATCCATTGCTACATTGTTCTTAATTTATGATGCTCCAATAACATAATTTAATTAGGCGTTTTACATTAAATATTGCCTTTTTATACCAGTCACTTTCATCTTTGTCTTCGAAATGGCGTCTAGCTTAACCATAACTCATGTTAAACTAACAATATTCATAATGCTTGCTCAAGAGCTTGCTAAGCATTGCAGTCTACATTGTAATTACCATGTCGCCTCCGTGTTGTCTATTGAATGCGCAGACGCAACTGACTACCGCATGTGTTTACACACGTTGCTTACCGTCCGCCATGATGACACGCAGTCAACGACACTAAACGAAAGTCATTCTCCCACCGGGCCAAGGTCACACAGAAAGGGCACGACTTTGGTCATTTGGTGTCATTACTTTCCTGTATTGGGTTAGGCTTATGATCCATTGCGACATAATTTCTGTAAATTGTTGTTGCTAATGCTCTTGCAGATTTAGTTCGCAACAGTCGCGAATCGCAATAATGTATGTGATATACAATGCAAGAGCAAATATAAAGAATGCCGCATATTAGCTTATAGGATATATTGTGTTCTAAGAAAAGAGATCTTAGGACCTACCTCTAGACAAAGTACTATCCACGAGATTGCAACGTTGCATCATAATCCGCTAGTTTTACTCGGTAACTTTAGTGCGATACGAGTGGCTGGTTGCCCCAGCTGGTCAATTACGGTTGTTATATGGTTGCTTGTGTTTACTACTCTTAAATCAAAATGTAAGATTAACAGCCTTGTTAGTGTAATGGCCATAAACAGGAATGAGCACTTGCATTTGGCTAATCAAGATAGTTTCAGTGGGTGTTAGGAATTTATGAATAACTATACAACAAAAAACTGTTAAATAAATATAATTCGAAAATAACAGTTCAATTATAACTAAAATTTATAAATGGAAAAATTTGACAGAATATAGTTTTAAGGGCTATTTTGTCCACGTAACAGATATACTACGGCCACTCCCACCAAAACGATTAAGTAATGCTCTTGTGTTGTCATTAGCACTTCAGGTGGATTTGTTTGATAAACAGAAGTTCTGCCATTTACTTTGCAACTGAAATAAAAATGAGATAATAATTTAAATGACGAGAAATCTAACAGAAACTTAAGTATACATATTGAAACAAGCCTTTAACGTTAATAAGACATACCTGGACGGGCGTTTAGTAAATGGCTTCATAAATGAGAAGAAAATTCTTTTCATTTTATTTATTTCACACCACGTCGTCCATGTTGTAGTATTTTTCTTTCAGTTTACCTGGAACATATATCACTGTAAAAACTAGAGGCACTTTTACTTACAAATTCTGGACGTTAGTTCAACATCTGTAGTATCTTGAGGGCAATAGCAGATGAGACCTCTTGCTCGTTTTTCGGGCTCATGGCCATTCAATCAAAGAGGCAGTCATGTAGGGCATATTATCTATAAAGGAAGCATTTCAACAAGGTTTCATATTTAGGAGACATTGGAATATTTAATACGTACATTAACACAGGTCTTGTGGTTTTTATTTTTGTGAGTATGGTCAGAAATCTCTAAATTCCACCCGTGATCCTTACATACTTCTACGACTGTTACACGTTCTTGAATCTGTTAGTTAAGTTTGCCATTTTTTTAATATTTCTTTAGTGATGTCAGAATAAATGGCGTCTTAGGGAGGATTCCACCAGGACTAGCTTTTTAATTCATGTAGCACCCGTCTATATGCAACCTATTATCAAAAGAAAAGCTTGTGTGTATACATGATTTTTGCATGTGACTTATTTTAGCCAATATATGTTGACGTCTCCTAACACTTGGCACCTAGTTGCAAGGCACCCCTACGCATTATTGTGTTCTTCATTGACATTCGCGTCTCAATTATGCTGAAATCATTTAATTACTATCAATTTTATTGTATTTACATATATTAATTTTGTATACTTTAGTCTCCAATATAAGTTCTTTATGCTATGGCTCAGTTCAATGGGTTATAAAGGCCGTGTCAAGTTAGACAGCAGCCGGTCGCCCAGCTTTGTAACCAACTGTGCAGTTGACTTTTTATTTAATTGCATTTTGATTGAGCATATCTGTTATGTAATATAATTTTGGAACATTAAATACGCATGTAACAAATGGATAACTAATTGTATTGTAAGTAGGCATGTAATACCTACGCAATTTGCTTTTACTAATGGACTATCCGTATCACATCAAACAGCAAAAAACAACACAGGCAAGTTTCAGCAACTTATCGTGTTGAGATTTTTGGTTTCGTTTCTTTTCACAACCTACATACGCATAATTGCTGGCTCCGGCACTCTGACCATCGCTCTGATCAGCTGATTGCGTTATAAGTGGCAAAGTTAAAGTATACAGACGGCTACGCAACACGCTGTATGGCGGGTACCGTTCTCAAGGTCGTCGACATTTCGACTCTCATAAATATGGCAAATGAATGCAATCACCAATTGGTCGGTAACCTTAAGCATCTATGGTGGTATTGTCTTTTTAACTATTTGAAATGTCTATCGAAGTAGTTAGCATATTCTTACTAAAACTGTGGTACGTAATTAGGGAAGTATAAACTAGTCAGGTAAACCATTGCACAGCTGTCTAAAAATGACAAAATAAGTCGAATAATTATAAGCCCAGTAATCTGTGAAAGCGTAAATAATTCAGGATGAGGATAGGTTGTTTTGGCCAGTAGGAGTCACTCTATGTAAAATACTGACATTTAATTCAAAATCAAAGTAAAATGTACAACATACAAATTCTTTTAACGGCTCAAAATAATTGGCTGATGATGACGGGAAATTTGCTGTTTCGATTGACTCAGTGACAGAAAGAGGATGTATGTATTCTTATAGTACCTTTCAAGATTCAGACCTGATCATAACCTAGTATAGGACCAGAAGAAAGAAGATAGTAATACGAGGATAATCTTAGATCCTAGACACTTACAAGGGTCAGCAGTAGCACGGCCTGGCCCTTCTGGTTCTCGGTCGTCGATTTGGCAGTAAGGAACAAATTTGCTTGATCATAATCGCAAGCAAGACTACAGCAATGGCGATACATATTGCATCTACTAAGTCGATCGACTCCAAGCGAAGGTTGGGTAATTTGTCGGTAATTGATTTATATGGACTGAAATTAAACTTGAACTTGTAAAGGCTTAGATAAGGCCGTAGTTAATTGATAAGGGTGTGAACCCTGAACTAAACGTTTATGTTTCTAACAGTTCGTAGTTTCTTTCAAGAACTTTAACCAAGTCGAAAGCCGACTCGCCACCTTAAAGTTAACATGGCTTAGAATTCTGATTTTGAAAACATAAACCATCATAAACTATGTAATCATCATAAACATTATGTGTCGTACCAGTCTACTTCTTCTGGTTCAAGTGTAGTTTTCTGATTTCTGTAAAAAAAACATTTATCGTTAAGTAAAGTGGTCACATCATACCATTAATAGGCCGTGGACACTGCTGGCTTATGGCCCTCCTGTACAGAAGAGGGGTTTCTCATGATTGTCGTATGAGATGGCAGTTTAATATGTTCAGGTTTATTAGAGAGTGCTGCTGCCCGATTACTGTTACATCATTCTGGGAATAGTAGGGCCAGTGACAATTAATATTCTACTTTCCTGTCACCACACAGTTTTGTGGTCAATAAAAACGAATCTACTGAATTCCAATCAATTTATTTTTCTTTATCGAATAGTCAACTTGGCAAAGACTGTTGGTACGTGCCCTACACAGCAAGAAATGACGCCTTTTAACTCGTTGAGTACCGTCATTATAGACACAATTAAAGAACAATAGGTTGCGGTCACCGGTGTCCTCGCGGTGTTTGACAGTTTAATCCCGAAGAGTTAGGTAGAAGTTTTCTTATAAAATGTAATAACACCCAGTAATCAGTTAGGTTATTGAGTCCCATAGTTGATTAGGGCTAACGTATTGCCACATACCGCCGTGGTATTACTGTGAAACTTCGAAATACCGAAAGAAAAAAATGTATTACAACTACCTACGCAGTAACATAAAACTGATCTCATTGACACAGCAATTCGATCTCGGTCAATCTCAACACTATTGTGTTTTTAGGCCATGTCGGAAACTCGTCACAGGGTGACGTCACACTGACCAGTGGCTTACGCAACAATCATAACAGCTATCTGGTCGTACGGTTAAAAAATAATTCGGCTCGCTTACGTTAGATGAGATTGCCAAACTGTTGGGAGATCGAGCGTCGTTTCACAACCAACTTACTTGTACGCCGGCAATGGCGTATGAAAGGGCACGTTGTTAGGGGCATTATGCTCTTGATAGCCCATTATTACTGTTGCAAGTTGGTTTAATCAGAGAATAATAGCACCCATGTAGTTGTAGTAAGAAAGAAAATGCGTTTGCTCGTCACATCTCATAAACGGAGACACAAATGAACACCGAGCATATCAGACCCTATTTTGTTGAGTATTTTTTACTTATCTAAGATTTGGATATTGTTAGTCTACGGTCCTTTCCGTGGTTATGGAAATGGTTATAGTCCAACCAGTATGGGCAGGGCTATTCATTACTAGAGCCAAAGACTGAATGGGTTTTAATATATAAATTTTGTCATTTAGGTCAGAATAAGTACTTTCACTTTTAGAGGCAATCGGATGAGTCATCACAATGATGCAGATGAAGGAAAATGAAAGAATGTCGTAAGTAATGCTAATGAGTTTTGCCTAACTCAAGACCCTAATGCTCAGCTCAGCTACGCTAGTATATTTGTTCAGTAGCGAGTAATTCAGTAGCTAAATGTGTCTAACCACTAAAAGCCCAGTCGAGTAGGTTAGTTAAGAACAAAGTGTATTAGGTCAGTAAACACTTTTAATATGTAAGGATTCATCAACAATCTATAAATAAGGTTTGGACATTAATCACCACACTTGCTCAATGCGGGTTGGCGATTACAAACTTATAATTAATAATTAAAAGCCCAGGTTTCTCACGATGTTTTCCTTCACCGTTTGTCGGTGGTGTCTTGATAATCTTAGGAAGTACATATAACTCAGAAAGTATTATATTTGCCGTTGGTAGGTTTCGAGCCAGCAGCTTTATGCCAGAGAAGCGGGCGTCTCAAACCTCCGGGCCACCACGATATTGCCATTGTAAAGATAGAAAACCGATGGCCGTCGGGGTAGATGTGTTGTGGAATGGAGACCGCGTCTAGGCAACCGTAGTGTAGGGCACCCTCCAGCTAGGTGGAGTGACGATATCCGTAAAGTATCTGGTAGTAGTTGTATGCGTAGAGCTGAAGATCGAGATCAGTGGCATGCCATTGGAGAGGCCTACGTCCAGCAGTGGACGAGAATAGACTATTGATGAGGTACTGTCTGCATTAGAGAGAAATATATGTTTTTCACAAGTTTACTTACTTCAATCCTGGTCCAGCCATGCGGAAATGTATTTATTTATTGTTTTCAGGTGAACAGTTTATCGCCATTGTTAAGTACCTTAAAAAAAATGGTAATGGTTATCGGGCAAATTTAACAAGCAAGTGGAAATTCGCTCTTAAAATATTACATCGATCCAGAGATTGGGAATTAAGATCGATTAATAATTTTGGCTACTATAGAAAATTTTGTTTGTGTGCCTCTGGTTGTACCAGTTGTACACTTTAATCGAATTGAATTGGATGATCTGAATTGAATGACAAATATTTTTGGATTGGACAGCCCATCATCTATTGTGGTAGGCCGAACAAACCGCACGGGACTAGATGTCTTACATTTTATGCTAACACTTTTTAAACTAATTAGGAAAGATATAACTTAAAGCAGATTTATTGCGAAAATTATTTATGATTAAAACTTTTGGGGTAATTATTAATATGGAATATAAACTATTGATACTATCAAATGTCAACTACATTGTGAGAAGATTATGTTATAAATTACTTAATGCAATATTATGTAAGGATAGTCTAGATTAGAAGATACGGGACTAGACATTGCAATTTTGGACTAGATCTAGATCTTTTTGCGAAGCCATGTGAATTTCACCTAATTGAATAGGTCAAGTAATTTTGAAATAGAAGATGGCCTTATTACTTTATACCTGACTAGCAGCCCGTCCCGTCTTCGCACGGGGTACACATTTTTTTATCAAAATGAAATATACCCTATGTTAAATTGGGAGAATGTAGCATTCTATTGGTGAAAGAATTTTGTAATCGGCCCAGTACTTTTTGAACCTATTCATTACAAACATACAAACATACAAAAATAGGTACAAATCTTTCGTCTTTATAATATTAGTATAGATTTAAGATGGAAGATTATCTTCAATATTAAAGTATACCATAATTAATTTATTTATGAGTCTATAGCTTGATAGAGATATAGTAGTAATTGGACAAACAAGACCTTATATTACATTAGTGACCTCTGCAGAGCAATAAAATGTAGTCCTCATTGTGTGACGGTTTAAACGACGTGAAGTTCGACAGTATTATTTTGCTAGTGGTATGAAACTAACTTCATACTAATAAAAAACTGATTTATCGGTAGCGAAAATTACTCTTGGTAGTTGTGGGATAAGGTTCATAATTACGTGGCACTTTAACATAATTTGAAGTTCAGCTAAGCAATATTTTTTTATTTTAAAAGCTTTTGTTTTTTCTGTGTTAGTTCTCAATCGCATGACACTTAAATATAATGCGAAGATATCAATATTATTTTTTCCAAGTATTTCCAATCGTAACCGAGTCGATGTAACAATAATAATAAAAATATACATACATGTTTAAAAATGTATGAATCCTGAGGAGAGAAGGCGGCAAGCTTGGGTGACTATTATCAGCAGAAACGTGAATGCCACACAAATAAAAACGATCTCTATTAGATCAAAGTTATTACATATTCCAGTTTTTGGTGGGAATCCTTTGCACTGCAAGAAAAAAAATCTTTTAAAGATACATGTTTTTCAATAATTTATTATTTAAAAGCTGGTTTTATGAGGATTTTCTGCAATATGGCAAACGTACGCAAAAGTTGAGTTGTGCATCTGTTCTATCTGAACAAGTATTGACAAATTTCTAGACCGACGCGGTTGTGAAACCACTTACCATTTTTTACTAATCTTAACGAGATAAATACGAAGAAAAGGAATAGAAATGTATAAAATCCCTCTTTTTTCCTACCGCCATCTACCAGATTTACTAAACAAAATTGAAGATAACCTTTCTACAAAGCAATCTCGACGATTTTTAAACAAAATTCTGCTCTCTGCAGCGCCAGTGTGAGAGTTACAGTTAACGGTTTAATGTTCGATAGGTGGCGTTGGAGAAAAGGGGGCGTTCCCTGAATCGCGGTGTTAAGATTTTCCAGCGTTGGGTTACCCTCGCGATGGGCCAAAGTCAGGCATCGGAAACTTTCATCTGTATGTCGATTACAAACTATTTTTGTAATTATTGCTACTATTTTTGGACATAGGACTGCCGTAACAGGCGGACCTATTATAATGCTTGAAAATCACACATGTTACATTAATTATTATGATTAAAGTGACCATGTTCATCTACGTCGATTTACATACAGTTACACTGTATTCTATACGATTTCAACTTTATTGTTTTGAAACAAAGTTGAGGAATAAATTAAACACTTTATTAATACAGACTAGCTTAAACTGTTAGTACCTAGAAACCGACTAAATTTTAATTCAGCGACCTAATTTTCAAAACGATATATCCAAGGAATTTATTCTAAGTTTCTAGTAATCTCCACTGCCTTAGAAGTGAAGTTGGCGACAAGAATTCAACAACACAATCATGACTACCTATTTATAACTTTCAAAGGAACATGCGTACTTCAGCAGCCCCAACTTCGGGCTTCAGCGGCCATTACATCGCACCTCATTGGACACAACCTATTGCGCGCCTTTTTTAAAAACGGAAATATCTAATTTTAGGTTATTGTTGTTTTGCGAGATTGGCAACAAAATATGATTCATCATCTACGTTCATATTCTTATTAATCCTTCATTAAATTGACTACCTGTAATATAGTAATTGCCTAAATTTAATTTTAATGTCCGTCTGGTAGATTAATTTAAAACATTAGATACGTATTTTTTCTTTTCTCACAAAATTAAATACTTTCGACGATATATTAATCTGAAATATCGTGTACCGTAACGACCGTATTGTAACTTTATACGAGAAAATAAAAAAAAATACGTGTCTAATATTTTTTTTATTATCTAACTGACGGCCTAATTAGATTTTTAATTTTCATTCCCTGGCAACTACCCTATTGTCTAGAAAAATAAAATGACCATACTTTTTCTGACTGGCATCAAATAAATCATGTGATCTTAATGAAATATCCTATACTTACATTTGTTTTCTTTTCTAAATGATAATGAATAGTCAATCTAACTTTGGATGAAAGACATAGACTGTTGTATGAACAAAGTTTAAAATAAACTTAGGTTCTTTGTACAAAAATAATGAAAAAGAAACAAGCTAATCACCTTCGCCATTTTGAGTTAATTTCTTCTGCTAGGTACTACACTGACACAGGATTAGAATAACGTTGAGCTGTTATAAAACAAACAAAACAAAAAATTAAAAAATAATCACAGTAGTCTTTCGTTGCATTTTCTTTTATGCTACAAGATGAAACTCATTTTCGTTTGTCAAAATGTTTGAAATATCACAATTTGAAGTTCATAATCAATTCAGCTGTAAGACGTTTCTTGCTGAACATAGGCCCCCAGAGACTTCCATGTCGGCTGGTTGGAAGCAACCTGTACCCAGTGGTTTACTCTGACCATTATCAGGACGTCTGTGGACCTTTGACAACCTTATCCAATTTGAAGCTACTTTTAAATATCTAAATTTATTTTCTAGAATTAATAATAACTATTATACAATTAAATATATACAATACAAGATAAAAATTAATATATACAACTTAAAATATATATAAAAAACAAATTTAAAACTAAAATATTTACACCTTAATAAAATAATAATAATAAAAATAAATCATAAGGCATCAAAGAAAACATTTTCCTCATCGCTACCGTGAGGTAGGGTGCCCAAAAGACTGGCAGCATTGCTTTTAAATATCTAGATACCACTACCACTAGATTACTGAAAAGCCAGATCAAAGTATGCCTAACCAAGAATAGTTATGAAACAAGACTCACCACTAAATTAAATTCCTTATAACTCTTATAACTTGAACCGTAACAATTGATGGCGGGAGGATGATAATATCTGAATAAAAATATCGTCTAAAGACTCGTTAGACTAGTTCCCCTAAAAGTCCTACGAACGTATGAAATAAAAACATAACATACATAACATCACGCCTTTTTATCCCCGAAGGGGTAGCCAGAGGTGCACATTTCGGCACTTAATGCCACTGTACAATGTACCCCACTTTTCACTGTTTATGTTATGAGTCCCATGTAATAGGGGGTGAGCCTATTGCCATATACCGGGCACATTTTCAGACTCCGTGCTACTACTGAGATTTTTAAAAACCCAGTAATACTTTGCCCGACCCGGGAATCGAACCCGAGACCCCTTGCCCGGCAGCCGCACTTGCGACCACTCGGTCATCGAGGCAATGAAATAAAAACTGCCACGTAAATAAATAGAAAATTTTACCTAATGGTGAATTATCTAGAGAGAGTTGATACTGTGATTTATTAGATATATATTGAATACTAATTGGACGCCCATAGAACTAGAAGCATACCATAATAGTACCTACTTAGATATGTCATAAAAATTGTGTGTCCACAACTCTAGAAATATCACATAGGTATATCTTTTGACAAATAGATGTATGCGGGACAACGTTTAGTACATGGATAAGCTGCTACTGAATCAATAAGGTAACAAAAAAAAAAATAGTTTGACAGCATCTTAACGTGTCCTGAGAGTGACCATGTCATCGAAAGGGAGCTCACATCTAAACACTTGAATGTCCTTTTCCTTCAAACAGTCCTTGACTAGTCGCGTATGGTCAAAAATTTCTTGTCCCAGCAATTAAAGATATAAAGTCATATTACCAGCAGGCCTCTCTTTCACTTCCATTTTCATAATTCAAAGTAGTGGCCTGTGGCCATACAATAATTTGTTTCTTATGTATCCATGAATCCAAATCCAAACTTTCCAATAAAATGTTTTGATTTTAGGTTCAACACGACATTGACAGCGGCTCGTGTCAAAATATATAAAATAAATTCTTATCACACCAAAGAGGTTTTATTTACTTTTATTTTTATTTTAAACTATAGTAGCGACATCTCTGATGATAATCGTGAACTGTACACCGACGTTTGTCAGCTGCGAAGTTAACTAAAGCAAGTTAACCTGTAACCATGTCATTCAACTTGCGAAACAGTGAGTCGTTATCCACTAGATGTCACTAAACGCAAGTTTTAAACCGAATAATGTGAAGATTTTTCAAATAATAAAAAATGTAAACAACCCCAACTCTGAAGTATATTTAAGATATTTTAATGGAGAAAAAAATTATATCAAACGTACTTAGTACTTATCGTCAAGCAATGGTTGCTAGGTGTAGTCCCTTAGGTGTAAACAAGACAGGTGGATTATACAGTCAGTCCAACACACACCGCAAGCGATAACGGTTGCATAGACTGCGCGCGCGCTCACCGCCGTCACTTTAAATTCAACCGGCGATCTTTATTCAATGAACTTACTCGTATATAATGACTTTTAATGTGTTCTCTAAACAATGTTCATGCACCAATCTGAAGAGGCTCCCGGCCAGCTGGACGAGGAGTTCAGTAGACCAGTGGAGTCTATCATGAGATGCGAAGACTTCAAGAGCAACTTCGCGAGGAGGCTGTCCAACCGATACTCTTCGAGGTCGACGGTGATCACTAAGAGACAGAACTCGGTGAAACTCCGTCCTCCGGGGCAAGAGGCAGTGGACGATGTAAGTCTTACATTTCCTTACGCTACATCTACTTTGGCGATGTTTATTTATTTCTATTACAACCATTGTATTGAGGAAGGTGAAAGTATTTACAATGATATTCAGAGCGCAAACTTGATTCTTTATCGGGTTTTTGTATCGCAAATTAATTTTGCATTTCCTATATCTGCGATGCGTGTTTGTTTACAATCAACGCGGTGGCGGCTGGCAATTACTTTTACTATATTTCTTTTGTGGTATTTACCTTAGTGTTGTAGTTGGTACAACAAAATAGCATGTTTAGTTTTTCTTCATTCAATTATCTTGCACAACAAAGTTTTTGTTGGAGTTCAGTCCAGTTCAGTGGTGCCAAAAGAATCGAAAGTCATTTTGTACCAGTAAGGTAGGATCTCCTTACTGGTAAGAATGATGAAAGAGTGAGAGTGTTAGAGTGTGGGCTACGTTGCTCATAGGCTAATTGTAAGCCACAAACTATTATAATAAATTCGTTTGGCGGTTTCGTATAATTAATTCTTGTATTGTTGAGGTTTATTCTCGTTAGTTTGAGAAAATTATTCTTCTCTTGTTCATACATACTACACTCCATCAACAAATGTGTATAGGTTTTTTATAATCCTTTCATTGGTAAAAATGGCCAAAACCGTTTAAGTCAAAACACTTTTCAAGTCAAAACTTGACGGTATTGTAACATTTTGATTTCTTCCTATGATTTAACTTACGATTATTAAACTAAGAAGCTTATTCTTATATATTATTAAGTTTCTATTAGCTTAACAAACGTATGATTTAATACATCTTCCATAAGTTAAATTAATTAAAATTATCCTTTGAACTAAAAAAGACTTGGTTTAATGACAAACTTAATACAGAACAATGAAATTTATTGTTAAACATATTAATTGATGTGGAATCTCTAATGTCTTAAATAACATAACATCACGCCTTTTTATCCCCGAAGGGGTAGGCAGAGGTGCATATTTCGACACTTAATGCCACTGTACAAT